TTAAATTTATATATAATTAAAGGGCTCAGAAAAATTAAACAGCTTTATCAATCAAGAATTTTCTGAAGCAGAACTGGCATTAAGCTGTACAAATAAATCATCACTGCCAAATCAATACAAACTAATGGCTCATATCAAGAAATTCAACCATTATTTTCCGATTATGCTTCATGGACCGTCAAGATCTCAGAAGCGCGGATAAGCAATTAATCACAGCCACAGATTTAAAATCGTCACAGACATTAAACTCTCAGATGAGAAAAATTTAGCCGATTATTTGACACAGATGAGCCGTGGAATAAAAGGTACAAAAGGGGCAAATCTGCAACACTAAAGGGCGAAAATTTGGCACTAGCATTGGGGCTTCTTTCTACATCTGTGAATTTCAGAGGAGCCCGGGGTAGCTACGTGCGATGAACACAGAGGAAAATTAAAAATTCAATCTTTAAACACACACAGAGGATACAAATGCAATTAAAAATTCAATCTTTGAACACACACAGAGGATAAAAATGCAATTAAAAATTCAATCTTTGAACACACAGAGGATCAAAATGCAATTAAAAATTCAATCTTTGAACACATAGAGGATAAAAATGCTATCTTCGAACGCGTGAATGGATTTTCAGGGGAATTTGAAGAAAAGGGTTTGTTTGTTCGAAGCAAATATATACATGAAACGAAGAAGCTGCGATGCCGTGAAGAAGCTGCGATGGATTTTGGGGGGTTTATATAGAGTTGGGTAGACTGGGTTGGGAGAAACCCTAGCTTTTGACGGTGGTTTTAAGTTTTTATCTGAAACTAGTACAACACCCGTGTAATACACAGGTGCTTGTTAAAAAATTATTCTTAAATTTTAAAATTAATGAAAAAACTATTAAATTTAGTTTACTTTTTTACAAAAAAATATATTACTATATATTTTAGAATGATATGTGTTACTTATGACTTACATGTGTTATATTATATTAGTTTTTATAACTTATATCATATAACTACTTGTTATATCATATAACTACTTGAAATATAAATATATTAGTTGATAAATAATTTTATTTTTGTAATTAATATTAAAAATAATTTTATTATTGTTATAAAGATAAATATAAATTATTTGTTTATACGTACAATATGGATGTTAAATCGAAGCTTATCAAAAGAAGATTAATTTGATATATTATATATGTAAAACTGATACAAATACAAAAGTTATTAACTTTTAAAATATATATACAATTCAATAGTTATAATAAGGAATGATATTAAAATACAATTAATACATGTAACATGACCATAAATAATCAACATATTTATGATAATCCGAACCTAATTATTTTTAATTTAGAATTAAATTAAAATTTACTCAATCCTAATAACGAAGCATGTAATTTTGCCACATAGGATTCCGAAGCACCAGAAGCAGCCACGTAGGCTCAGCGCGTTCTGTATTAATATATAGGGGGGATTTTAAGACGGCGGGCAGAAAAGCATACCAAACCCGATAACCCTGTCCGAATTGTTGAAATAACCCGGTTCATATTTATGTATACCCATGCTCGTGCTGTAAATTTGAGAAATTTATATATAAAAAATAATAAAAAAACAACTGGACAAAAAAAAAACACAAAAAAAGAATGTGGACAAAAATAAAAAATAAGTATTTAGAGAATACGTTTTCCATACAATTTTAATTGTTAAACGTATTCTCTAAATACGTTTTACAATTTCTTTACAATGTAAAATGAAAAAACGTATTCACAAAATACGTGATTTTGATTGTTGTCCACATTTTTGTTTTTGTGTTTTTATTTGTCCAGTACTTTATTTTTTTTTTTAGTTTCCCGTAAAAAAATCTGTTTAATTTAACAAATTTGGCTCGACTTTGACTTTTTAAGACTTTGACTTGTTAAGGTTCAAGTTCGGCTCGGATCGACTCATTTGGTAATGGAGGTGAGCTCGCGCTCATTTATAGTTGGTTTGGTTAAAACTCAGCTCGATAAGGCCCAAAAATACAATTTTTAAATAATATTCTATAGATCAACTCGTTAACGTTCGAACTCAGTTCGGTTTTGGTGATAAATGAGTCAAACTAGAGTTTGGCTCAGCTCCTTTATAGGCCTAACCGATAACCGATGTTGGTCCATATCGTTATTCTAAATTCTATATTCTAAATATAATAAATTCTAAATATTGATAGCTTTCCCGTGCTCGAAATCATTTAAAACAATTATATTTATTACCTTTTATTTGTATTTTCTAAATTTAATAAAATTGGTTCTAAGAACTTGGATAATTTGAAAATTTTTATAAGAAGTAAGAACAACCCAAATAATCATGACAAAATGATCAATAAAAACACCATCTTATATGAAATAAGCATTCGTGATTAGCAATGCTTAATATGAAATAAGCAGAACACATCACATTTGTCAGTATAAAGTATGCATTTTTATTGAAAAACTATG